TTCGTGAGCTTAAAGCGACATTTAACATGCATTTAGTTTGACAATTGAATATCTATTGTTTATGATATTTTACGTTTTTCTTTTTACTTTTTGTCATTTAAAAGATTTAATTGATTATTTATTTGTTAATATGCTGTCAAAATATCACACTCGTCGCGTTAATGATGATGTTCCATTGTTCTCAACTTATGGTAACGATATTAAACTAAAAAAAAATTTGCTTACAACAATCATGTATGCGATCTGCCTATAGATGAATGCCCCCATTGGGGCAGATGAGACGATATAAACATATGTTCAAAAATATTATCGTAGTAACTACTACTATACCTCAGCTCTTTTATTTCTTCATTTATTTTATTCGTTTGACTCTATTATCTCTATGGAGAGTATATTAATTTTATCAGATTACTCGTAACATCTGAAAATTGTTATATTAACTTCAGTAATAGGTGATAAGCCCGTAGGTTATAAGTAACACTTACCTCACAATACATCTCTATATGCTTTAAAGTTTGGTAACGCATTCTGTGTCTAATAATACGGGAATCGGTATGAAGAGGTCGTGGGTTTTGTTAAGCAAGGATCCAAGCGGTAGACTCCGTAGCAACTACGTGCGCACATATAAATGTGTATTCATGAATATATATTTATGTATGTTTTGACTACTTGACCACTAGACTACTAAATTCCCAAGCGTCTGTAACTTTAGCGTCTGTTTAAATATTCCTTCTATCCTAAATTTCAAAAGTTGTAAACCTTTAGAGTTCTCGACGCCTACACTTTTAGCTTTCGATGTCGGGGGTCTAAGCTTAAACTTCTAGATTTGCAGTGGTTCAGAACTCAGTCGATTTTTAGTTATCGGATCCTGCTGATTATCAGGCTTATTGAAGTCCGGATATGTAGATTCAAAATATAGCAATCACTCAACTTTTAGAATTATAAGCATCTACATACAAAAACTGTTGAATACCTAGACTTTTAAACCACTAAACTTCTTGAAGAAGACCAAACCTGCGTCTTAAAAGAAGAGAACGTCCAGATGAGTGGAGCAATAATTTTCCAAACACATTCAAGTCTTTAAGCAGAAGAAATAAAAATATTATAGTTAGCCAACGCCCATTATTAAATACCCTACACAACGCTACGATTATTCTTATAATGACTTTTCCATGACAATCGCGTTCGTCCTTGGACCAAAACACATCAAATGTATCAAAAACTGCGACATTTAGGTTGAACAATAACAAACGGACGGACGGACGGACAAGCTTGGAAGGATACAAAATAGTTGAGTCTATTTCAACTTCTTGAATACCACAAGTGATGTAGGGTATAAAAATATTATATCTGGTTAGTCTACGAGCGAACAGTGGTTTGCTATTCCGGTAATAGCATAGAAGATCTAATAAAGTGCAAATTCCTCATCAGTGCGAAACTTATGCTCATTTTAGCCATGTTTACTAATTCGTCTGTCTGCCATTGTACATTCATCTTTGCCAAAACTGTCACAAAGAAAACAAAAGCTTTGCTTAGGGTACCTCGAAAAATACGGTCGAACTCTAATGTTATTTCTGTTTTTTGATTTTTTTGGAGCCATATCTTTAATCTTAGAATTCATTGTTCCTGCTGCGCCTACCATATATGCGGCAATTGTATGAAGTTTTATATAAATCTGTTGTCATTGATATTGACTTTTATTGTCTTGGCTCCATTGCGTCATACATACATACAATCGCTTATGCATGCAATGTATTACATGTTTTTGGGAAAGAACGTAACGTAGGGCGACCAGATGACTAAAATATCAATTTGCATTTTTTAAATAAAAAATGCGATAAACTGCAAACTTTACTCCTCATTACCTTTAAAAATCTATTTAGTAATCAGGTCTACGGGTAAAGCAATTGCAACCTTATGTTCATGACTTTAATATCAAGAATAATAAAGGAACAGTAACAGGAACGCATAGCAGAAATATTATGGAAGAAGATGGTCTTTAGGAGATATGCTTAATGAATTAGAGAATTAGAGATGAGAAGCAGTCTGTTTCATAAAATTAACATTGATTTGGTGACAAACTGTTGCATCCTGAATTTATTGTTTCGCATTTTTTAAATTTTGTCGTTTTTTTTTTTTGCTTTACTTAAGCAAGTTATAAAAGTAACTCAACGTAAATTGAGGTAAGTGGTGTTCGCCTACATTTTTTGAATTTCATTATAAAAAGTGTATTAAATCAAAATGACAGCGCACCAGCAACTCTCGCGAAAATCCATTCTGCTTAACAGTATCTCTTTGGCCGCACCCTTGACTTGCCTTACTCTCCAACAGACAGATTTCAGATTTCATTCATATTTTTTTAAAATATTGATGTAAAAACAACTGGCGCCGATCTTAGCTAGAAAAATGTTCATTTTTCCAAGACTCTAGCACAAACCGGCTATAAAAGTTGTTCAATGGTTCAGCCAATCAAGACCACCGCATAACCAAGTAGTTAAGTCAGTGCGGCGGCATATCCCGATTGAGTTCCTAGGTAGACCGTCCTTCAAATACAATTGATATGTGGTCGGTCATACCGAAAGCAAGTGCTCGGTTAGCAAAAACACCTACTGATCGCTTACACAACTCCGTGACTGCCGCCAACCTTTTTCTCTTTTAAAACTCTTAGCGCTGGGAATTCTGGATAGACTTAAGACTTAGAAGTTGCCTCGAAAAATTGAGCGTGTGAGAGAAAAAAAGATTGAAACTTCTTATGCATATTTATAGCGGATGATCTGCCAACAACGACACCCGCAAAGCCAAAGGATTAAAACTGATGGCGGATATTCTTAAAATTTAGTGAGAACATTCAGCAAAAGCAGCTCGTGATCGTGATCGTGAACAATCGACGAAAATGACAGTAAAAAGAAAAAACGCTTAAAATCTGTAGCGGATATGAATTTACTGCTTAATGCCCTACAACACGTCTTCATATAAGCCGACTTTGTACAATGCGGGAATGAGGAAACTCGTATAACGCACTAGATTAAGGAGACAGAAAATATGTATTGATCAACTTTTATACACTTTCCCTTTTTCTTTCCCTCTCTCTCTCTCTTAAGAAAAAAACATTTGTTATGCAATGGTCGTAAAACTTCTTGCCGTATGTAGTGTGTGAAGCCCGATTATTAAAGAAATTTTTTTAAAAATATAACTAATTAATTCATTTATATGTATAATCTAAGTAAAGCGCGGAGCGAGTCAACTGGGTTATAAAGGACTCTACTGTACTTGAATATTGGATGATAAGCTATGTTTAACACCCACAGCATAGACGTGCCTAAACACTCACCTTTACGTAGTGATCCTGGGCAGCGATCATTGGCCGATGAAGACGAGTTTAAAGATTGACTATATATAATTTTGCAACATAGACAGCTCACAGATAGTTCACTGCAAGAACTTTTATTTTCTATGAAAAAAGGCACTTCTTCTTTTACAGACTGGCCGGACACAGTTGATTTGGCAGGTAAGTTGAAGTAGCAGTAGTCGAGTGCATGGAGCAGGCCATGTCAATTATAACCACCGAAGCATGTATATCTTGAGAAACGTTAGTTTCGATTCGGCTAATAACAATTGTATGGTAAATCCAAAGGCAAGTGTGACTACGGTCGCGTAAACTAAGGCTAAAGGCTTTGTAGTCCAAATTGAAAACCCACTCACTATATATTGCTGTGCACATAAACGTCTTAGGCAGGGAATCTTGTAGTTGTCGCAGTGAATGCTGACTGAATCATTAGAGATTATGATAGCCTTCAACATTCCCCAGAGTAGGTTTATTGACAATACACTTCAAATCAATCCGGGGAAAGCTAATTCTCTCATGAATAACCCGAATGTCCACAGGCATCGTGAGGTTAAGTTTTCCTACTAGAGATATCTGGACTTGACTGTTGCAGAGTTAATTGAAAGTAATCTTTGTAGGTTGATCACAACCTCAGGATTTAGCAACGAGAATGCTTTACAAGTTGGTTAGTTGTAGGAATGTAACTAACAAAATGCTTTACGTATTCCACACTTTGATTGCAGTTTGTAGCATCAAAGATAGATCTCGAAGAGATTGTAAGCATTTGAATTGTTTAGACTACGATTGTAAAAGACGTTGTCTTCAAGAAGCTTTCTTTGGAGGAAGACGGCTGATAGAGGAGTTAAGGCTTTTTAAAACACAACACTTTAAGGGTTCTTGAACTAAACTGAAGATGCTCGCCTAACAATTAAACAAAGTTTTTATAATATGCACATAACTTCACACGTTATGTATAGCAGCTGTTACTAAGGTGTGTTAGAGGTTAATATAATTTATGCATATTAAGAGAAGACTCTAAAATTATAATAATAATTAAATTAACTTTAGTTGGCTTCGATATTCCGAAAATCATTTATAGTTTGATTAATTGGCTACCAAAAATAAAACACACCTTGAGAAAATCAAACAATGCCCCAATGTATGGTCAATGTTAGTCAGTATTCCGCGTTTTCATCTAATTTAAAGATTCTATCACTCTGACGTGAGCGTTGCTATACATATATATATACATATATATATATATATATGCTTGTGCACCATACCTTATATGTATTCATGTGTTCGTATCATCTAACCCGGCTATAAACTAATCGCATAACAAAATGTTCACATATTAACCGGTAATGCTTGAAATTTTTATTTGATAATTTTTTATTTATTTATTTTATTTTATTTATGTATATTTTTTTTTTTTGCATAACCGTCTTCTTCGCATTATTACGTTTATAGAGAGACTAAAGCTAATATTTCTGGTTCAAAACAGGCCGAGATTTTTTTTTTTTTCGGTTTTGTTTTGTTTTGTGTTGAAAACAATAACAAATCAAAACGAAATTCATTAAAATTCATTTATTTTTTGGAACATTATTTAAAAAAAAATAATATTTTGATAAAACAAATTTCAAGTATAAATAGTGCAGCGTCAATCACAAAACGGTATCAGTTGGACTGTGTGCAAACAAAGTAAAACAAAACAAAATTAAAATGAAATTCGTGGTAAGTTTAGTAAGCGAAAGCCACTAAAGGATATAAAATGGTTTCATCTAAGCTCTTCTTTTTTTTTTTGTTTTGCTCTTTTACGGTCTAGATTGTCTTGGCTTGTCTTTTGGCTGTCGCCTACGCCAACGAAGAGGCTGATGTTGTTAACAGCTATCAAGAAGTGAATCCCGACAGTTTCAAATACGAATACGAGCTAACCAATCACATTAAAGCCCTGCAAGAAGGTGTTTTACACGACAAAGAGAACTGGCTAGTTAAGGGCGAATACGAATTCGTTGATCCCCATGGCAAACATGTTCAAGTAGTTTACACTGCCGATGAACACGGTTACCATCCCAAAGTTCTTCTATAAATTCTTTAAAATTAACTGAGTATTGAATTGTACCGAGATCGTGATGTAATAAAAGCGTTGTTTTATTGTTAACAAATTTAACGGAAAAAAAAAAATATTTGTATCCTTTTTTAATATATGCGGCAATTAAAGCTATTCTTAAGGCATTAATAAATATAAAAAGAGCGGTTAGCTAAGCATAGAAAATATATGACAAGGCATTTGATAAACATTATCCCTCTTTTAATATGGAGAAATAGTTACGAAGAGCGGCTGTCAAGGCCGTATAACTTCGATTTGACATAATAATATAAACGAATAAATCAAGCGACCGTGTACAGTCAAGAGTGTATATAACACTAGGACACGCCCCTTTGTGTCGTGGTACTAAGTTTTTGATTGGGTGGACTACTATTCTAGAAGGGATTTATTTGGATGGAATACCCCCTCGGGCAGCAAAATCAGATATATATCTTGAGCTAGTGCAAAAGCCTATTTTATCTTTTTTTTTTTTTATTATTTATTTATCTACTTTATTTAATTATAGATGAAACTCAACTAAAACATATTGACAGTCGAGTTCAATTGACTCTTAAAGTAAATCTTATGTTAATTACTATTAAAACCTAGCCTAAGTATAATAAAAAGAAAAAAAAAGAAAGAAGAAAAAAGCATGAACACAACTAGCATTGAGCCACTCACACCTACCACCAGTACAGAGCCAAATTACAAACCGATAACGGTAAACAACAATTAATTTTCGAATCATAATGACTTACGACATAGGTAAAGCGCGCTGGTGTGGTGAAATATACGAATTAATGGCAAAGGCCAAAAGCTGAGTCACAATCCGCTCGAAGAGCTTACGCAAGACTCAACTCAACTTGGCTATGCTCCTGTAGTTCTCAACGAGTTGTCCACTTCCACTTTTGTGAATAGGAATAAGGAAACTACTCTTCCAACACACAGGGAAAACACCTAATTTGAAGGACGGGTTAAAAATCTTTGAGATAACGCCACATAACTCGACAGCGCAAGATTTAAGTACACACGATGAAATTCCATCAAGTCCAGGAGCGTAATTGTATTTAAGAGAGCTCAACCTTTTAAAAACGTCATTTTTAGAAATAAGCAAATTAGGAATTGAAACTAAAGTAGTTATCCGATATGGGTAGTTTGCTGATAAATCGGAATTAGCAATCGAAAAGTTTCGCCGGAAGTATTCAGCAAAGGGGTTTGACGTTTCAAAATCATCCGAGGTATCAGAGCATTAAAAGAAACATGTGAGGGATGTGTGGAAATTTTTCTTTTTAAAAACTTACTTAGGATTAGCAAACAGGGAGGATATAGTGAACTGAAGGTATTTGCAATAATATTGGTGGTTGAGGAAATTAAATTATATACCATACGTTTAGCGGTAGACTGATACTTCCACACCTATCTCTCCATTTTCTTATAACAACAAAAGTCCTCTTAGAGTTGTTATTGCTGAATTCAGTAAATTATTAGATTGCTACAGATTCTTACTTTTATACCTTCTACGCTGAAGAAAATGCGCAAAATAGAAGCTCTTCAAGATAGATTTACTCTGCGGCATATGTTATATTCTATATACTTTATGTTCACTATTGCGACGCCGTATTTGATATTCTATATCGTATTATATATTCTACACACCATTTTTTAAACTTCATGTTCTATTTTTTATATTTTATATTTTATTACATATTTCCTATATTCCGTGCTGTAAGCCCTATACCGAATTTCCTATATCCTACATCTTATGCTCTACATTCTACTCTCTATGTTGTATAATCTTTACACTATTAGATATGTTACATATTGCATACTATATATTACATATATATCCTATGTTCTATGTTCTGTACTATTTTAATTTATATACTATATTCTGCCTTATGGTCTATGTTTTCATATTTTGTCTTATATTCTACGTTTCCATACTTGAGGTAATATATTTTATTATTATTATTATTATTATTTTAATTTTAGACTAATGAATTGAATTCTTAGACTAAAAAAAAGACATTGAGCACTAGCAACACATTTCCATTCCATTGCATTCCATATTTCATATTATATTTTCAATATCTTCCGTTCTATATTCTATTCTTTACATTTTATATTCTCTGTTCTATGTTCTGTTTTTTATATTTTATTTTCAATATTCCATATTCTATTTTCTATGTCCGATTTTATTTATTCTTTTTTCTACATTTTCCATTCTATATTCCATTTTCTATACATTGTATTCTATAATCTACATTCGGCTTTCTATATTTAATATTCTCTATATAGTGTGTTGTATTCAATATTCCAATCCAATATTCTCTTTCCTATATCCGATACTCTTTATTCCATTTTCTATATCCTACATTCTATGTTCTATTCTTTACATTTTATATTTTATGTTCTATTTTCTATATTTTATATTCCATACTCCATATTCTACATTCTGCACTTTTTATTTAATATTCTACGTTCCACGTTCTACTTTCTTTTATCTATATCCCCTGTATCCTATATTCTATATTCCATATTTTAAATTCTACCTTCTATGCATTAATCGTATATTCTATGTTATGTACTCTGTTTTATATTCAATGTTCTATTATTTTTATTCTCGTTTTATTATCCTATATTATATATACCCTAGGATTCAATTTTCTACAGTATTTATTTTTTATATTTTAGATTCTATATTCTATGGTAAATGGTCTATGTTCCACATTCTTTATTCTATATCCT